TTGGGTTAGTTGTCATTTTTATAATTGAACTGTAAGTATCGTTGACTTTGAAAACTTTTTAGAAATAATTTCATACTTTTCTTTCTTTTTTTTTCAGTACTGGGGATTGAACCTAGGACCTCACACATGCTAGGCAAGTACTCTACCCCTGAGATACATTCACAGCCCTAAATTCATACTTTTAAAAAGTTGAAAAATACTCTTGGATAGCTGGGTGTGGTGGTCGTTGAAAAACAGAATAAAGAACTTCTGAATAGTTGGTTGTGGAAGTGGTTGAAAAATAGAATAAAGAACTCTTGAATAGCCAAGCATGGTGGTGCATGTCTGTAATCTCAATGATCAGCTGAAGCAGGAGGATCACAAGTTTGAAGCCAACCTGGGCAATTTAGCAAGACCCTGTCTCAAAATTTAAAAAAAAAATTAAAAGGACTGGGGATGTAGATTAGTGGTAGAGCACCCCGGGTTCAATCACCAGTTAGCAGGGGGAAAAAATAGCCTCCTGAATATCTTTAATTCAGATTTCCTAAATATTTACATATTACCACACTTCCTTGATTCATTCTATTTTTTTCTTTTTAATATTTATTTTTTTAGTTGTTGTTGGACACAATACCTTTATTTTATTTATTTATATGTGGTTTTGAGGATCAAACCCAGGGCCTTGCACGTGCTAGATGAGCATTTTACGGCTGAGCTCCAACCCCAGTCTCATTCTATTTTTTTCTAAGGCATTTGAGAGTGTATTTCAGATATGATACCCCTTTACCTCTAAATACTTCACTGTATTTCCAGAAATATAACAATAGTTCACTAGTCAAAAGTAGAAAAAGATACGATGCTAGTAATTAACCCTATATATCTCACAAAAAACAAAATTCACCAATTTCTGTACTAATGACCTTTATTAGATTTAGGCTTTTAATGCTATTTTAATATATTTCTTACCTTTGGGTCATGTGTACCTTTAAAAACATACTACTGCTGGGCTGGTCATGTATGCTTGGAACCCCAGTGACTTGGAAGGCTGAGGCAGGAGGATCATAAATTCCAGGCCAGCTTCAGAAAATAATGGAGACCCTGTCTCAAAATAAAAAATACAAAGTACTGGGGACGTAGCTCTGTGATAAAGTACCCCTGGGCTCAAGCCCTAGTGAAAGAGAGAGAGAGAGAGAGAGAGAGAGAGAGAGAGAGA